TGGCTACTTTCAGGGCTACATATTATTTATAAATATATTAGTCGAATAAAAATGCAATTTAAAATGGTGTTTTGTCGTTTTCTATTAATTAGAGACCCAAATAAAACAAATATTTGTGTTTTTCAAATTATTTTTTGTTTGTTTCCTTTATAATAAATGAATTTATTTATTTCTAAGTAAAAATTGAAAGGGCCTGTAGAAGTAATTTTTTAAAATATCCTTGTTCGTGATAAAGTTTTAATACTTATTACTATAATCTAGACATGTTAATCCTTAAACATACTTGTATATTTAAGGATTGGGTCACAAATATATTATATATACTTGTGGCCCAAAACTCCATGACTTCTTCCAATGTGGCCCAGAAGAACAAAAAGGTTGGACACCCCTGGTATAGACGATAGACCCCGAATGCAAGTTACTCGCGCGCCGCCCTGGCGGCAAATATTTATATAACACGTAGGAGAAAAATCCAAAGGCTTTTTCTCTATATGAACCCTTACCAAAGAAAGAAAAAAGAAAGGGTTTCTTGGTACAGAAAATCAAGTAAACGTTTTAAATTTCAACTTACCAAATTTTAAATGTTTTAATAAAATATACAATTAAAAAAATAGATAAGGTGACCAACTTCTTTACAATGAAAAGGAGGACACTAATAAATTGAAGGAAACAATATCGTACATTAAAAACATTTTATTCATTGCAACAATAATACACTACAGTGGCGTGCCGTGACATTTGATGATAGGGAAGCTGTGTTTCTGTAAGAAGCCGACATCCAGGGGCAATCAGTCAATTGCGCGTCAGTGATGGTCTAGGGTCCATTCGTATCGTTTATTCGATAAGCCAGTAAAAACCGTAGACTTCTCTAAATGCATTTTTAATATCACAATTACATTCCGAATCGCTAGCCACGATATAAGGGCTACAATTAAAAATAAAATAATAAAAACTTACTCGGTGAAATAAAATGTGTGGTGAATGTACCGGTACATACCTGGTACAAAATATTCTTCAATTGTATGAATATGCTTTTAAAGAAAATTATAATTACATATGGCTTTGTAAAGAAACGTACATAAAAATATAAAATATTCTTTACTTTTTAAATCTTAAAACAATGCACTTAGTCAAATAGCTCCCTACGAGTGGCTAGTGAATGGAATCAGAGACGGTTGCAGAGCGTGCATACATGCGGACTGCTAAATCCCCAGGTGCCGATACCGGTCAATGTCAAATACCTCTTTTGTCGCATCACTAGTATATCTCAAAGGACGCGAAATGGCTGTTGTAGATTTTAAACGTTTTTCACCATAGCTGTAAAAATCTAAATATTTTAAACTTAATAGTCATTTGTTTTCTAACTAATTCGTTTTAGGACCAGGTGTCCACGGAAATTTACAAAATTTACAACTTTTCGGTCATTCTCAATGAAGTGGAAAAATTTCTGTTTATATTACGTCTAATATTATGAAGAAATCGGTCCCCACTGTACTCGGCTATGTAGATTGGTTCGGTTAAGCTTTTGTTTAAGTAAAATTCCGGCTCTTTCAGCGGGGTTTTATTTATGTTCCAAATTCCCTAATCGCTTAATTATTTAACCACTTCTTAAGTAGAAATAAGTCGAAACCGGTTACTTTGTACTCAAATATTTGTAGTCTCGGGAAAGAAGTGGAAAGACAAATTTTTATGACAACGGCTACATAAATCATAAATTTAAGTAAAATAAATTTTAGAGCTTTTTTTGTATCTCGTGCATCTTTCTCATTCATTAAATTTAGTTGTAAATGACGCTGTCGAAGTAACGGTTAATTTTTTAACATTATACAAGAATTGTACACGTTTTTTTCTACAACCCCATAGAGATGGTACAAACGAAATCGTAATATCACCGGTTTAGCATTGAAATCCGTAAGTAATATGGGAGAACATAATAAAAATATCAAATACTAGCAGACCCCGCCACGCGTTGTTGTGGCTCAAAATGTACTCTATTGTAAATGTATAACACTTCCCCCGTGGGAGAGGGAATTTTTAGAAAAATCCCTTCTTAATGTACATTCTCTTGACGTATCCTATTAAAACGCAGTCAAAAACTCAAAAATTCGCATCTAAAATAGTATAAATAGAAGCAGAGTTCTTCACGGTAAGCTTTAATCCTGTCCATCTTCACCCCAGTGGGGTGAATTTCGACATGTATATTATATAAAAACACGTGCGTATTCGAATGCAACGTTGTGTCAAAATTTCATAGGAATCGATAGGAACAAATGAACATTACATTTTTATTTATATATATAGACTAGCTGTTACCCGCGGCTTTGCCCGCGAGGATTTTGCAAGCAAACTCTATTTATATTCAGTATTTCAACAATCATAGAAATTGTTATATAATATCTACCGCCGAGAATGATGAGAATTGCCGAGAATCAAACGAACTCTGTTCAATTTGATCAATTTTCTGGAATGTTTACAATCGTTCTATAATCGAACCAATATGCAATAACAAATTCCAATTTAAAACGGTTCGAACATTTTTAAAATCGAAATAGATAAAAATATTTATAACAATATCTGAAATGTTATCAATTTAATACATCTAAGTACTCAATGAGAATTAAACGTAGTTGAAAACGAAAAATCGCACCTAAAATAGTACAGTAGAAGCCGTTCTTCCGGTTAAGCATTAATTCTCTATCTCTGCCCCCGCAGGGGAATTTCGAAAAATCCCTTCTTAGTGTGCGTTTTCATGACGTACCCTAAGGCTGAGACTCCACTACTGTAAAAACGGCGTAAAAACCCCTCGCCGTAAAAGCTTTTAATCACGTGACCCTGATATTTTACGCTTAAGCAGGTCGTAAAACCAGAGTAAAAGCGAGTTGAACAGTGTTCAACTTTTGACGCGAATACGGCCGTAAAACGGTACCATCCACCAATCAGAAGTCAGTTAAATCTAGGTCATTGTAACGCGGTGCGAAAATGGCGAAAAACCAGCTTTTGTGTACAGTACGTTTTCTTGTGGCTACTCTAGAATAGATCTGGAAAGATTTATCGAAAACATCCGAAAATATTCATGTATCCACGACAAGAAGTATCCCGATTATAATAATGGATGCCTAAATCACGCGATACGGACGGCCAAAGGAAAATCCTTCAATTTAGAGGAGTATATAATGAAAAAAGCTAAGCTTAATAAGTGCTGTATATTATCTTAATTAATAATACGAAAATAAAAGTTAATATATGAAAGTAAATATATTATTTTTATTACATTTGTAATTATAGTACAGAAAAAAAAAACTTGTAGAATATAATCATTGTCTTTATAACTTCAATAGTACTGCCGCGGTAAAAACTTCGCTAGCCGGACTTCCACTGCAATCCAGACGCAAACGTAAATAGGTCACGTGATTAAAAGTTTTTACGGCGAAGGTTTTTACGCTAGTGGAGTCTTGGCCTAAAACAAAGAATCAGTTCAAATACTCTTTCGGATGACGAATTTTGACCGTAGGCGTCGAATAACGACGCTGACAATAGGAATGGAGAGGAGGGCAGTTTGTAAAAATCCAAACAATAAACACTCTTTACTGCTAGAAACACCAATCTGGTTAATTTGTCAAGCATCACTTATCGTCACACATAACCTCTTTATAATTTTGTAATTCTACACAATAAAGTTAATTATACGCGAGATTTGTCAAATTTTATGTTTAAATCGTTTTCTCTTTTCTCAAAAAAATACTGTTTTAAATTTATGGTGTAGTAACTGAATAGAAAAGGATAGGGATTTTAATAAAGAAAATGGTAAAAATAAATGTACTTTGTCTGTTATTTATGTATTGTTGACCTATTATTTTGTTTCCAGATGTCCAGTGTCCTCTTGATGATATTGCAGTTGATCATCGCCCATTTGCCGTCGTCCTATTGACCGTGTTCTAACTTAATGATACTTTTATCCTAGATAAAAGTAATATCGAAAATAATAAACAAATTTATAGTGGCGTACCGTGGGTGTCAGCTGCCCGGGGCGGAGGAAAATTTCGGCCCCCTTATTTAGATATTTCAATTTAAAAAACCAAAATTCAGTTTTGTCATAGAACAAGCAATGAAAAATTCGGTGGTAGTGCAGCGACCTGTTTAAAATAGTTCTATTGGATATTAGTAGTGTATATGAACGCGAATGAATCGTATAAGCAAAAAAAAAAGTCAATAGGTTTCGCAGGATTTCCTCGGATAAGAAAATTACTAGTTCACCCGGACGGCGAGCCGATTCCCGGACTGTCTGGACGATAGCATAGTTTAAGATGTTTCAAATTTTTACAAGATGTTATTATTATTTACTGTGAAATTTTGCCGTCCCCTAAAAAGTGCCGCCCGGGGCGGGCCGCCCCTGCCGCCCCCACTACGGTACGCCACTGCAAATTTAATAAGTACCTGTACAGTACTATACATATTGATCCTCATACCGGTAGTTAAAATATGCTAATTTCATACATATGTATATGGGGAGACTATCCGATTTTGCGAACAAGTGATTTAATTGTTGTTTTATTATTTTCTAGGTAAGGTTTAGCCTAGTCTGTTGGTTATCAATTTTTTTATTTTTATTTTTTGGATAGTACTCCCATGTAAATTTAAGTTTAGAATGTATTTAATTGTTTGATTATTATTTTATTGATGTTGCATATATTTGTGGGATATGTGTAATTTTATATGATTTTTGTACATTGGTTTTGCTTTTTATTCTTTTTTCCGCATCATTGTTTTGTACCAGTATGTGCCTCCATATGTGCCCAAAGTGGCACATATGTGCCCAAAGTGGCACATATGGAGAAATCATATGGCACACCAACGTATCATACAATATTTATCATCTTTTTCAATCATTCCTTTGGTTATTACTTAATCATCCTTTTTTCAATTAGCTTTTTTGTATTTATTCTAATTAAAGCGCATTTGTTTAATTTATTTAAATATCGTTATTCGTGCTACTTCGTTCAATGTTCATCAAGTCTTGGAAAAAAGAAATAGAACATGGTGGTTTTCCGTTGCCTTCCAACAACATAAGATACGCTGACGACATAGTCCTGCTGAGTGACAGTAAAGAGGGATTACAGAAAATTCTGAATCGACTGTTCAAAACTGGATTGGAGAAATTCCATATGAAAATAAATGAAAAGAAGACAAAAGTAATGAAGGTTTCAAAGAAGGAAGATATGGAGGAATTCCAGATCATTCTGGGAAATAAGGAACTTGAAAGGGTTAAAAAGTTTGAATACCTGGGAAGCTGGATAACAAGTGATAATAGATGTAAAATGGAAATTAAAAGCAGAATTAATAAAGCAAAAGCTGCCTTTTATCAGATCTATCATATATTAACAAACAGAGGCCTTAACATAAAACTGAAAATAAAAATCCTAAGGACAATGATCTGGAGTGTACTAACATACGGATGTGAGGCATGGACTCTTACGCATGAAATGATGGAAAGAATTAACTCATTTGAAATGTGGTGCTTGAGAAAGATGCAAAGAATAAGTTGGACGGAGAAAATAACAAATGAGGAAGTTTTGGACAGGCTGGGCTTGAGGAGAAGGTTGCTTATAAATATCCAACAAAGAAAGGTACGATATGCTGGACATTTGGCTAGAGGATCAGGAGGACAACTACGAAAGACGGTGATTGAGGGACTGGTGGAGGGGACAAGACCTAGACGAAGACCCCGAAAGACTTGGAGAGATAACATCAAAGACTGGACTGGAAAGGATTTAAGAGAAGCCTGGAATAGAGAAACATGGAGAGGAATAGTTCATCAAATGCAACCCTCTGTAGAGAGGATGCCACTGGATAGATAGATAGATTCGTGCTAATTTATGCGTGCCAAAGTCTAAAACTTTGGCACGCATAAACATCTTTAAAGCTATTCGCGTTTTTCATGAACTATAGAGGGCGCCGCATTTTTACAAAATAGCTACTTTATCTGGGTCTCTTGTAACTAGTAATGTAAAATTAATCATATATTACTGTCCGATATAATGATATATGCTGCCTGTAGCTGTTTATCGAGAAATTTTATAGAAGGAGAACAATTATTGTTAGCGGGACACGTCATTATCATGGGCGTAGCCAGGAAGGGTCATGGGTGGGCACGGCTCCCCCAGTTAACCTGGTGCCCTCTCCAGAAAGTTACAGCCGAAAAAGTGTTGAGCAGATTTGCAAAAAGAAATAAAAAGTTGAAGCTAATCTAATTGGGTGTAGTGTACCGCGGCCCGCAATTAATGTCTGAATATTGGACTGAACTTCAAATAATTGATTGAATGGATCCGCGATAACTCTCCACAACCTGACAATGTAAAGTTGCAGGAAAGTTGAGAAATTCCGATCCAAAAAAAAAGTCAACTGCTTTTTGTGCCTAATGTGAAAAGTGTATCTGTAATCTTTATGTACAGTTTAGTCTCTACGGAGTGACGCCACAATAGGTTCTCGAATCACCTGAAAATCTTGCTAGGGCCGCCTCTGGTTCGGGCAATGGAAAAAGTTTTCTTTTCAATTCGGCCCGGAGGAAAAAACTGTTGGTTACCTCTGGTCTATATCTAGATTAAGACGGTGAACTATATTAAAGAATGGTAAAAAAATAATTGATTGGTTAATTTTTGTTTAAGGCATTGCTAGAGTTTGATATTAATTAATGTTACGAGAACGTATGATTAAAGGAAGTTTCATGTTTTATGTGTGTTAAGTTATTGTCGATTCTTATGGAAATTTCATTTCGATGAACAACAATTTGAAATAATTCAATTTTGTGTCAGGTTGGCCTCTACTAGGCCCCCATAACAAAACTCTGGCTACGCCCATGGTCATTATGTGGTACCGAAACAAATGAGTGAGATCTGCTATACATATCTGTGCCCTTTGTGTTAAAAAACATCAGCTTTGACATTGTCCCATCAAGGCCGGATTTACAAGTAAAAAGCCTCGACTTTCAAAAGACCTCAAACGTTTGTACAAAAAAGAAAATTGAAGTCAGATTTTGTAATAAGCATTTTTTTTACAAATCAACAAAATATACTTCACTGTTTATTTTGTGTAGTATTTCATTAATTCTTTTCTTTTTATGATTGACTTCTAAAATTGTGAAGGGTTGGTAAGGATCTTACAGAGTTCAGCTTAGGGCTTCGAAATGCTTAAATCCGGCCCTCTGTCCTATACAAAATTACTGGCATTTAAAAATTTAACAAAATATGTTTTAAAATTGAAGCATAACTTGTTCGTGTAAAGCTGGACAATCTGGAAACTGCCAATTCTTAACAGTCTAATCCACTCTCAGAATTCAGAGCTCATAAATATATCCGATGAATTTCCGAATAATCATCTGTTTTTCCCGTTTATCGCGTGGGAATAGACGAAAACTTATATCAGGCAGGGGCGCCGCTAGCTGTTTGAACGCCCGTGTGCAATACCGATTATGCCGCCCCCTGTTTAACTACGATTACCTATGCTGAGCTTGCCAGAAAGGCTCTTTGCCGCCCCCTGGACGTGCCGCCCGCGTGCGGTGCACGCCTTGCACGCCCGCTTACAGCGGCCCTGATATCAAGCTCTCGTAAGGCTTTGAAATTGCAATTTGGAACCAACAGTAAGCGTTGCTTTTTCTATCGCTTTTCATCTTACTGCTGATAATACACAAGAATGAATCAAACGACCCAGATAGAATAGTTTTGTTTTTAAATACCAGAGGGCCAGCATCCGGTGAAAAATGCGAATAAGGGTGCGACTATGCAGACGCGTGCGAGCGAGAGAAAGTGGAGTGGAGATGATGAGTCACCTGTTCCCGTCGAACTCGTCAAGTAGAATTATCGTACTATATACAAATTAAACACAAAATGGTTCGATATCGACGCTTATTACTAGCAAAGAAAAAACTTTTACTATTAAGATTACTGCGTAAAAAAATAGAAATAAAACGAAGAAACGGTGTTTAGTGGAGTAGCGTAGTGGGGCGGCAGGGGCGGCCCGCCCCGGGCGGCACTTTTATGGGCGGCAAAATTTCACAATAAATAATAATATCTTGTAAAACTTTGAACCATTTCATTTCATATTTTTGTCGCACCTTCGATTCGGACTGACTGAAATGAGCACGGAATATTTTATTACTTATTCTGTGACGAAACTGAATTTTAGTCTTTTAAATTGAGAAGATACCCAAATAAGGGGACGGCGAAATTTTCCTCCGTCCCGGGCAGCTGACACCCACGCTACGCCACTGACGGTGTTCATCCTCTCTGGAAATAGCAAATTTCCCTTCCGTCCTTCCAAAACAAAATATTTACCTTGGCAGTGAAACATATTGAATTGAAAATAAAATTTGTTTAAAATGTTGTTTATTTAATTTATTTAATAAAGTTATTCTTGTATTAATTCTTCATCAATAAAATTATTAACAATATTTATCAAGATACTTCTTTGATGGCACTTGTTTTATTAATGTATCAAGATATATTGCAAAAGGGCCTATTGATGTTCGTTCAATTCCCTGCAAGAAATACACAAAGTTAAATTTTTCTTTTCTAAATTATAACTTTTTTGTCAAACACTGTGTAAAGTTATACAGTATGTAATAATTTTATATGAAACATTTCTCACCTGTTTACATTACTAATTTCTTTTAGTAACTTTTGCAAAAGGTTACTAAATTTTATTAGTAAATTTGCAGATTACCCAGGTACGTCTATCTTTAACTTTTAATTTTATTAATATTAATATCATTTTTAATTTTATTTTTTAAATGTATTTTTACATTTTTCATATAGTGTTTTAAGCTCTTTATTAAAGTCCTATTTTTAAACAAGGCGTCATTGACGAGAAAAATCCAAAAGTTGTTAATAAGTTCTAGTAATATTTTGACTCATATAATAATTATCAATTCTATATATCAGCAATAATTATTAATTAAAAACACTTAATTTCACATATATAATACAAGAAAATTCTTAAAACCTGTCAGATAGGTTCGAGAACTAGAAATTCGATCTCGCCAGCAAGATTTCTTGCTTCTCGCTTGTGCACGGTTTTCCTTTGCGAGAACTATATCGCTCGCTACTAAATTCACGTCTGCATAGTCTTAGAACTCCATAAGCTTCTTCAATGAGAAGAATTATACGCTCACAAAAGAAAATGTTGGCAAGTTTTTCGGGATATTTGAACCTTTAATGGAACTTATAAATCATTCACCAAAGAAGCTGTTCAATTGTGATGAGACTGATTTAACTGTTGTCCAACACAAGACAAGCAAAGTGATTTCGTTGAAACGAATCGCTAGATAGGATCTCTGTCATCTGCAGAAAGGAACTCCCTGATTATTGTAATGACTTGCATGAGTGAAGCAGGACACTTTATTTCACCACTTCTTGTATTTCTGAGATTGAATGTGGAAAAGGAACTGCTGGATGGTGCTCCTAATGTACCTATCGCAGCATGCCATAAATCTGGATGAATGAGTTACAAATGAATAGCTTCCTTCAGTAATTTGAACAGCAATTCCTCAGACATGCCAAATTAAGCAAAGATGATCCTGTGGTTCTGGTTTTCGATGGACAATATTCACATACTAGGAACCTTTAACCTCTAGAGAATGTGTACATGTTGTTTATCTACCCCTATAAATTGCAATCCCTTGAGAGGACTTTTATGTGTCTTTTGAAAACTTATTATAGCCAAGCCGTTGAAATCTGGAAGAAACAAAACGTGGGTGGAGTCGTGACTCATTATCATTACCAAGTGCAAAGCTCCTAGGAGAGACTTCAATAAAGTAACACTATTGCATTTATAGTTACTGTACTATTGCAGTAACTATAAATGGATTGTATATTTAACATATCATTCTTTAAGTAATTAGTTAAAGCTTTTTGTTTCATCTTAGCATATTCATAATCGACGGCCGGATGGCCGAGCGGTCAAGGTATAGCCTATCGCCTTGAGTGACCCGGGATCGAATCCAGACGGGTCGAATAATCCCCGAGAACTTTTTGGAATGTGGTCAATCCGGATATGTCAGAGCCCTGACCCTCGCTGCCCCATTGTGAGCCTGGCCGAACCCATAATGGGCTTGCTAAAAGAGGCCCTCTTAGTGCTTCAGGGCAGAAAGTTAAAAAAAAAAGTATTTTCCTAAAATCGCACAAACTGTACGATTACTAGGAACACAAATTTAGAGAAGCCAAAATCCCACTGGGCTTATTAATATTTATTAAAAGCCGAGTGTTTCTTTATTTTAAACCGATATTTATTATTTATTTTTAATGTATAATAAAAGTTTATGCTTAAACGTAATAAGTACGTTAATAAATAATTTATCTAAAATGTTCTTTCGAAATAACGTTAGGGTTCGGAAAGTTGTTTGGACGATAAGCGCATTGGTTACATGTAGGAAAACAGATCGTTCGTTACGTTTACGATAAAGGGGTTATTCTGTAAGCAAATTTAACAATAAAAGAAAAGTTTAAAAAATGACTGTTATTATTATACCCGAAGACTCAAAATTCCACGTGGAACTCAATAATGCCGGGACTAAGTTAGTTGTTGTTTATTTTTTCGCAACATGGTAAGTGAAGTTTTCATTCTCATCATGATGTTGCATTTTTGAGTCAGTTTAATGTACCTTGTATTAACTTCAATCAAAGAAATAAACATAAAAATTAACCAAAATTTTATTACTAAAGATATTTTTATACTTCTAAACACGATTTTCCTTGTTAATTTCAAGTATTTTTAAAATTTAAAACATAAAAGTTGTCTATTTCAGTTTATTGTATAAATTGCCAGAAGAAGCATAAAAATTAATTTATAAAAATCAATAATTAGTGAGATCGTTAATAATGTAATGTATATTTATACCATAAGTAATAAGTTTTTAATTGAAATTTAATGTTTATTGGATGTACAAAACTGGAAAATGTTTAAAGTAATTTGTAATAAATTATTAACACACTAATGATTATATTGGATATTTATCCATATTTTTTGTTCACAAAAAATTACATATAGGTTCATACATTGGCGTGTAAAACTTAAGCAACGATGTAATTTTTAGGCAGATGGCCATGAAATTGTAGAAAAGGGCTTGTTGCCATCAGTACAATGAACACCCATTTCAGTAGAAAGTGATTCATATGCGGGAAGAAGACATCACAGGTTACATAAAGGCATGCAAAATGCGTGCAGTTGGCACATGCAGTGCAAGACTACAATAAAAAGAGGCTTTGATTCCATACTATATGCATTCTATTCATTTTTGCACTAGTATGCTTTCTTCATCTTTTAAGTACAAAATACTGTCTCTGTATTCTGAATTTTGTCTCCTGGGTGATTTTTTTTTTGTGGCATTATGACAAAAAACAATTGTTGCTTAAGTTTTGCACACCAGTGTTTATTGCAATTGTTGTAAGTGTTGATTTATGAACACTACATAAAATTTCTTCATTCTATAGTTTGCATTGCAGTATTAAAATTTATAGTTTAGATAGAAAAAATCTTATAAAAATCCATATATATAATAATAAATATAATAAATCCATAATCATATAATAATTCTCTTATTGTTGTTAACAACAATAAGTGAATTATTACTACTACTAATAATAAATTTTTATATTATTTTTATATTTTCATAAATTTAAATTTTACATTGATCTTTATAGTTGTTTATTTATTAATATAAAATGTGTATACATATATTGTGTATTTCAAATTTTGATTTTTGATAATACATTTTTATAAAAATAAAAAAGCAAAGAAAGATAATGTTTTAGTATTAACATGTAATTTAAACTTTATATTAAATATATATCTTACATTTTCAGCAAAACAGGGTTTTTATTATTCCATTAATGGTAGATGATTTTTTTCTTTTATTAGTATGTTCCACATATTTTTATTTGGTTTTTGTGCTTTTGCATATTTTTATTTGGTTTTTGTGCTTTTGCATATTTTTATTTGGTTTTTGTGCAATTCTACCCTATTCATATTGGTTTCCATTACTATATAATCAATTTTATTGTTTTATTGAATAATTAGTAAACACAGAATATTTACTAGTCACATTACTTTCACTTCTTCCTAGAAATACAGTAGGAAACAGCTGAAAAGATGTGAACATTCTTGGTCCAAAATTTCTGAATGCTTTCTAATGGGATGTAAATAATTACAGTAATACCTTAAAGTATGATTATGTGACCTCAGAAATCTGTTTGTGAATCACTTCTTATCATGTCCACTTGAGATGAAGACATACAATAAAAATAATTGCATAGGTGAATTCTAATTTACTCATTACCTTTTACAGCAGGAACAACTTTTAATAAGTAACATTTTTGGTTATGTTTAATGACCATCCTCAGGTTTACAAATTTTCAAACAATTTAGAATGCAAGAAAATGGAACATAAATTTTAAGAATGCAGAACAATTACAACATAATTACAATAAATAGAAACATTAAAATAAATAAATAATAAAAGAAATGAAGAAATACAATAACATATAAATAAATGTTACCCCCTAGGGCAGAAAGAACAAAGGTTAAAAATAAATATATAAAATAGACAACCCTAAAGTTGGGGATATTTGTGATAAAAAATGTCCTTCCAAGTTATGGGGTATATAGATTTCAAACTAAGTTCTCCACATCAAAGATAACATGTTGTGGTGCACTCCATTAATTACAGGGACCACAGCACATTATTTTCTGCATATAAAGCTTGATAGAATGCTTTTCATCACATATATCCCCAACTTTTAGGACTGTTTTATATTAATATAATTATTTTTATCCTTTGTNAACCGATATTTATTATTTATTTTTAATGTATAATAAAAGTTTATGCTTAAACGTAATAAGTACAGTACGTTAATAAATAATTTATCTAAAATGTTCTTTCGAAATAACGTTAGGGTTCGGAAAGTTGTTTGGACGATAAGCGCATTGGTTACATGTAGGAAAACAGATCGTTCGTTACGTTTACGATAAAGGGGTTATTCTGTAAGCAAATTTAACAATAAAAGAAAAGTTTAAAAAATGACTGTTATTATTATACCCGAAGACTCAAAATTCCACGTGGAACTCAATAATGCCGGGACTAAGTTAGTTGTTGTTTATTTTTTCGCAACATGGTAAGTGAAGTTTTCATTCTCATCATGATGTTGCATTTTTGAGCCAGTTTAATGTACCTTGTATTAACTTCAATCAAAGAAATAAACATAAAAATTAACCAAAATTTTATTACTAAAGATATTTTTATACTTCTAAACACGATTTTCCTTGTTAATTTCAAGTATTTTTAAAATTTAAAACATAAAAGTTGTCTATTTCAGTTTATTGTATAAATTGCCAGAAGAAGCATAAAATTAATTTATAAAAATAAATAATTAGTGAGATCGTTAATAATGTAATGTATATTTATACCATAAGTAATAAGTTTTTAATTGAAATTTAATGTTTATTGGATGTACAAAACTGGAAAATGTTTAAAGTAATTTGTAATAAATTATTAACACACTAATGATTATATTGGATATTTATCCATATTTTTTGTTCACAAAAAATTACATATAGGTTCATACATTGGCGTGTAAAACTTAAGCAACGATGTAATTTTTAGGCAGATGGCCATGAAATTGTAGAAAAGGGCTTGTTGCCATCAGTACAATGAACACCCATTTCAGTAGAAAGTGATTCATATGCGGGAAGAAGACATCACAGGTTACGTAAAGGCATGCAAAATGCGTGCAGTTGGCACATGCAGTGCAAGACTACAATAAAAAGAGGCTTTGATTCCATACTATATGCATTCTATTCATTTTTGCACTAGTATGCTTTCTTCATCTTTTAAGTACAAAATACTGTCTCTGTATTCTGAATTTTGTCTCCTGGGTGATTTTTTTTTTGTGGCATTATGACAAAAAACAATTGTTGCTTAAGTTTTGCACACCAGTGTTTATTGCAATTGTTGTAAGTGTTGATTTATGAACACTACATAAAATTTCTTCATTCTATAGTTTGCATTGCAGTATTAAAATTTATAGTTTAGATAGAAAAAATCTTATAAAAATCCATATATATANCTATCACTTTCTTCAGCATCTGCAAATATCAAAAATTAATTTTTTTTATAACACTCATAATTAAATAATTTAATTATCATCAGTTTGAACAAAATAAATACACAGGGTTAATTGAAAGTTCCTTAAACCCTTTTTATTCCAAAAGTCCTAAAAATATATTACCTTTGTTTATGTAGTTACCTAAAAATCAAGTGATTACCAGACTAGATCAAGCTATATTACTGCTACTAATAATTAATTAAATACTAAGTAATTTGGCCTAGAGGTAGGCATTAGGCACAATCTCTTATTAAATTTAACAATTATAATTAATATTTGTTAATTAATTTATAAGATTCTGGAAGAAAAGAATCAGTCTGGGGCAGGACTTGAACCCGCAATTTCCACTTACCATGTGGATGCGTTGCCAATACGTTACCCAGATTCTGTCTGATTGTTGCATCCAAAACTATTAATTTGGATATAACCATACTAATTACTAATATCAGTAATATAGCCTGATCTAATCTGGCAATCATTTGGCTTTAATAAATAACTATTGGACTTATGTTTATACATAAAAATCATTTCCAGGTTACTTATGTTGTACTTATGAACAGAGGTAACTTAAAAGTTCCAATGATAAAGAGCACCATTTAGTTAGTGTAAAACTATTCTCTGGATTCAAATAAATACATTTGGACTGTGTAATTTGAGCTTTAAATTTTTGAGAAGTGACTTTATTTTATGTAATCTTTTTTCAAAGTCAACAAAAAGGTCCATACAATTCTCTACACCAGGTCTTCTTAAACTATGGGTTGCGACCTCATTTGGGGTCGCTTAGCAAAATCTTGGGGTCGTGAAATTTTAATGCAAAATATTGGAAATAATTTGTGAGAGTTTGAAAATGGCACACTTTGTGTCATAGGTTTCGAGAACTGCACTTTGTGTCACTTCTGGTGCAGCAAGACAACGATTTAGCAACACTGTAGTGTGAACTAGTGTAGTATTGTTGCTTTCAGTGTATTCAGTTGTCTCTGTTCCATTGTAACACAAGAGTGAACTGTGGTAGTACACCATTATTGTTTTTGCAAATTTGTATATCTTTATTTTATATTTTTTGGGTCACAAAGAAAATCACAATCATAAATGGGGTTGTAAATAAAAAAAAGTTTAAGAAGCCCTGCTCTACACATTATTTCCTATGTAACTACATTAACAAATTTAATATATTTTAAGTATTCTTGATACGAAAAGGATTCAAGGGACTTTTGACTCACTCTGTATCTATATAATTTATTTTATATCTTATTACAGTAACTTTTTCAAATATCAATTATTATTATTTATTTATTTCTGTTATTTTTAGTTTAACATCAAAGAATTGCTGGATTATATTGGTCTATAATAATAATACTAATTATTAAGTAATTTGACATAGAGGTAGGTATCAGGTGCCATCTCTTGATGAATTTAATAATTATAAGTAAATTAATATTTGTTA